AAATGATTGTCACGTGAGCTACAGGAATGGCTGCGAGACTGAAAGAGGAAATGCAAGTGGCTCTCTTACCTGCCTCAGAAAAATTCTTTGTGCTTTGAGGTTTTTGAGTGAAGAACGGCATTGAAGATCACAAAGAGCAGTGATTACTTGATTAGTCCAGGCAGATGTCTACATATTCATTTTTCTGGAATGGAGAATACAGAGTTCTGTAATTCTAAAACTGGATTTCAAGGGGGCAAGGGAGAGCAGAGTTGGCAATATTTTCCATTTGAATAAAGCTTCCATCATTATTTCAAATTACAAAAAAATGATCATTCTTTAGTTATGGCTTCTTACTGTGTGACAATGGAAAAAGCTAGCACAGTAAACCATTTGCAATCAAAAAAATGTAACAGGGAAAACTTATGGAGAGTAACAATAAAAGCACATTAAACAATGGGTGAATGCTTCAATGGAACTTAAAGGAAGAATGAAACCTGCAGCATTTGGTTGACCTTCAATGCCCTGAGAAGATGACAAATTTCCCAAGATGAACAAGTGCCCAAAATACAAAGCAAAGGACTGACTTTTAGGGATCAAATGTTAAATAGGCCTGCGAAATTGGAGTTGTTAGGTTGCACATGAAAGAAGGGAAAAAAGAAAAAACCACCCCAACCCTCAACTGCAATTTTACGTCCCTCTTGGAAAATTTGCTTTAATAAGAGAGAGGAATGGATACAATCTTCCCCTCACCTGAAGATTTTAAGTTCTAGGAAGTTTTGTTGCTCCCTGCTTTCTTCTAGCTTACTGCACAGTGCATTATTTACATAAAACAGAATTTCTTCTGTGGGAAAGGCTTGCATGGTACTTAAAAGCCTGAATAAATCAGGGACTGCAGCTTGAATCTACAAAAAAATAATCCAAAAAATTCCTTTCAATATCTGCATTGTATCACCTTATCAAGCTCCCTGTCTAGCTGAGTTATTCAGGTATCCACACCAGAAATGACAGACAATGTCTCTCTATGATGATGTGATGTTACTTCAAATGAAAAAAAACAA